CTCCTCGAGCAATTTCAACAACTGGTCTTGTCTCTTCTCCTCCTTCGTGAAAGAGACTGGAGTATCTTCCTGTCCGGGAGGCTTGAAGTACTTTCCAGTAACATCTCCACTACCAGTTCCCTCGGCCAGCAAAACATAGCTTGCCACTCCATCCTCTGCCTTTTCAGGTGCGTTAGAACCTCCCATCTTGGTGGGAACCCAGCCAGGATCGACCGAGTTGCTCTTCACATCCGGCCACAGACGAGCGACGGCGTTGGCCAACGTCGTGACGTGCAGCTTCGAGTCGCAATACGCCTGATTCTCATTCCAGCCTCCCTCACCGCGCTCGCGCCACGTAGGGTCAGTGAAGCTAGTGTCGCCGCTCTTGTGCAGGCCGGAAGAGATGTACACAATCCTCTTGGGCTTGTGTATCAAGGACGTGAGAATGTAGGGCGCAAAGACGTTGACTGCAGTCAAGCTTGGCAGTCCGAGATCGGTCTTGCGATACGGCCCGCGGTAGAGACCTGCATTGTGGATGACGACGTCGAATGTTCCGAGTTTGTTGGCGTCTTCGGCGAGTTTCTTGATCTCTGCAATCTTGGAGAGATCGCCGATGAGAACTGTTTCGGCGCCTGGCACGGCGGTCTTCGCATCTTCAGCTCGCTGCGCGTTGCGGGCGTGAATGACGACTTGATGGCCGTTTTTGAGGAGGGTGCGGGCGGCGACTGCACCTAGGCCGTCAGAAGAGCCCGTGATGAGGATTCGTGCCATTTTGCCGATGATTGATAAAATGATTCGTCTTTCGAGATGGCTATGGTTGATATGATGTTGAGTAGGACGCAGTTGTAAAGTCTCAGAAGGCGTTTGAGCAGCTGAGTAATAGGGAAGCGGACTGGAAGGTTAAATCCGCGTATCATCAATAATCGCGAGTCGCGAGCGGGGTCCGGGTTCGGGCGTAAACTGTGGGGTTGGGATTTCGAAGATGATCGAAGGATGTGAGACTCGATCACGTCATCCCGTTATTGAAATAACTACCGACTTCACCAAAGATTCAAATAGATCTAAATTTTCCTGCTTAGGTAAAGTACTTTGAATTGGCCTAAATCCTTAAAAAAAAGAAATGGCAAACGAATAATATGATCATTTCTTTCATTGAAGCTTAAGATATACGAGCTATTGGAATTTATTAGTACCAAAGTATAGCGACTCTCCCTTCTGTGTATAAGGATTACTTTCATTGCCGAACTTCCTTTCCTGGATATGGGATAACGGAACTTTGCAGGTGTCGCAATTTTCGAGGAGCTTCAAAAATACTCTAGGCGTTATGCAATCACTCCTCAACTTTTAGCTGCTGGGAGCAAATGATGCTTCCTATGAAGACGAAAAAACTACCCAACGCCCGGGGAAATGGCAAATACTCAGGAAGAGAACGTCTCTATGTTATGAAGTACCATGGACAACACTGGTTCAAGCAATACTAACCTTGGTCTTCGTAAGACTGTTCGATTATCTCGAGCGCGCACCAGCTACTGCCTCAGGAAACGATCCTCCCCAGCACAGTATCGAGAGTCTGAGAATGCTACTTGGAAAGGGATAACAGGGATTACTTGCCTGATCACGAGCCCGAACGATGTGGACACTTCACGCTATGCAATCCTTTGTACTGCCTAGGCATTTCTGCCTGGGGATGAATGAATTCTTGGAGATTCTCAAAAGGGAAGGTGCATATCATACGTTAGTAGTATTCAAGTAGCTCATAGCGCGTACTTGTGGCCAGTCATAATGAGCACATGAAAGGCAAATATAGCTGAAGCATTTGGGCACGAACACTCGGTCAATTCCTTTCGCTGTCTCGCGCTCCTGCAGATAGACTTCCTGCATATCCTCTCATCCATGATATCCCTGGTCAAAGTTTTTGGATCCATTACAGTAGGAAGCTATCAGTATGTTTAAAGGCATTACGATGTTCAGCACATCATCTTGTGAAAGATTGGGCTTGGCGTTCAATCTTGGTTTGTTCCTGGATGTTACTGCGAGTATGAATGAGTACGATATACTTACATGTGTTTGTTGGGCTCTGGGGTTTTTTTTCTCGCGAATCCTGGCATTTGTAGTTCGGAGCATAACCATCTGTTGTACAGTCTTTGAATGACAGAGTGAGCGCAAGTATAAACTGCTGTTTCCATTTCACCGAACAATGTCGGCATGGCTGTGTTAAAGTTCAAGGGTTTTCTAGACCAGCAAGACCACCACTAGAGGTTTGTACTTCTTGTACGTTGATGAGCTTCATGCCGGGCAATTCCCAGCGTCGTACTGTCTTCAATGCCTGTGCTGATCGCACGAATATTCGGCTTCGCGACATCAAGTCGAAAATCCGGGATTTTGCTTCGATTAGTGATTTCTTCCAGAGGAGGGATACTCACATGGTGTAAGAACGTTCAAATATACCTATGGTAGTGCTTGATGTGGGGTTTGTTCTTTGGGTTCCATGGACCTGGAAAATACTTGACTATTCACTGCCACTCTTTCTTTCCTGCGTAGCGCGCTCAGTAAGAGGACCGCAATAGCAAAAATACTACCCTCCAATCACTGCCGATGGCGAATACCACGACATGCAAGTTGCAGGTACATGCTAGCACATTTTACTCTTACAAGGCCGGTCAGCGATATGAAGAATCTTTTCATCGTCATATGAATTCGTATCTGGCGCCGCAGGGTCGTCTGTCTTTATACAAGTGCCCCACCACCACTCTTCACCGAAATGCGCTGTGGCCTGATCGCGACGAAGAGTCGCGTTGCCTTGCGATGCCTTTCATCTATAATAGAATTTTCCATTCCATCGTGTGACTGTGAGTTACTCGGGTGCCCCATTCACGACCCAACCAATCGAGTTCGAGAAGAACGTGAAAAGCTTTCGTCTAGCAGAGCACACGAGGCAAGATGCCATGCCTCCCTTGCTAGGAATATGAGCAGAAGATCGATTAGAGATTGGCCGAGAACATGTTCTGTGACTCGAAAGAAGGTCGCGTAAGTCAGGGGGGACATTGCAGCAGCGTGGTAGGAGCAAACTTCGAAGGATACGGTTGCGGGGGCGGCTTTGCCTCCGCTCGAGCTGCGAATGTGATGAATCGGGAAAGCTGTCCGACGCGTCTGCGTCTAGAGGAACGCCCGATGCCTAGAGCCCCGAAAGAGTAAAGTAGATGAACCCTACGTTCTTGTTATCGGACATGGGGACAAAACGAGTTAGCTTGGCTCTTAGAGAACTGTAGTTGTAGGACTACATAAATCGTAAAAAGTGGCAGATTTATAATCCATGGCTGGGCTGTGGTTGGTGGTGAGTGCAAGCGTTCGCCGGCAGAGTTGTTCGAAACAACAACTGAATAAACCTCATCATATATCGCGCATGTCCAATGCCATTCTAGCCTTGATCGGATTTAAAGTTGGAGAAATATTCGGTACTTTCTAGCTTCGTGCAATTCTGCGAATTGAATTCCTTAAAGTCTTGCCCCCCGAATTGGCTCATGTTTCTTTGTTGGACCAGCCGCCTGGTTAGGTCTTACCCAAGTCTCACCAAGCATGTCAACTCGGACTCCTTTGAGGCCTGTGTTTCCAGCTGCCAAGGGTATTTTGCCCCCAGTGGGCTTAGCTCTGCCTTGCTTGACACCTTGCCTAACTACTTATGCTGCATGCTAGTGACGGCCCTGGATGTGATTATTGTGATAACGCTCGAACTATCGCCCGCAACTGCAGTACACGGAAGTTTTGAGCTGGGACCACTTCCCCATACGAACCCTCCCGACACTATGATCGCGTACTACTTGACAGCGCCATTCACGGCAGTTGTAGTCGTGGTTGCCCACGGCCAATCTTTCCTACCCACGGTCGCAGTCGCCCACCACGATCGCAACAGTTTATAATTATCACAGGGAACAGACATCTGCGCCTGGAACTCATTACAACCAAGAACAGACTGCCTTAATCATTATTGACCAACTACAGCCTTAGCAATTGATCGCCGTGCCTGCGCTATAAGTGCCGTGCGGGCTGTGGGTGAGTGCGCTATGTGACTCGTGCGCACCTCTACCAGGGGGAAGTTTAGAGTTGTGGCTGAAGCCTCTTATTGGGTAGAAGTGTCGTCTTTGCCAGCTATCCAAAGTTTGCACGCGCTCTATTAGGTATACAAGACGTAGAAATAGGCTAGCGCGTCGACGGTGGAGAACTCAAAATCCAAGGTGTAGATGTAGCCCTCTCCAGGGGAGTTCGTTCATCCCCTTCCAGAACGACCTACATTCCCAAGTTTCTTTGGCTCGGAAACGCGTTCCGATAACATGACTGGTCGCCTGGTTGACGGAACTGAGACAAACGGAACTGAGTGGATTGCAGTGCTGTCACGTCACGGGACCATGCTGTAAAATCTTCGCCATGATCATGACCATCATCGTCATCACCATCAAGCAATTTGACTTTTTCTTGAGATACTATCAAAAGTCCCTTGTTTCAAGTACTAAGGTTCGCTTGGCGACCTGAAAGCTCGCCTGGGTTATGTAACGCTCCTCTAATTATTTGATTGATCCTCAAAATACTTGGATGATCATTTGGACTTGGAGCTCTTGGCCGTCGAGCCGACTAGATCACCCATCCCATGCTCCTAACATGGACCGTGTTGATCAGGGGTCGATTCTTGGGACCTGTCACATCCAGACTGAGATCTCTCAGACGCTCGTTCACTCATCCCATCGGCCGGGCGTTTTGTGGCGTTCGTGTCTCGGTGACTAGTGCTGAGTACATGGTTCGATCGCTACGGCGCTAACCTAGGGACTTCGACAAAGGCATCCCGCGTTCGTCTGGTGTTTTCCCGATTCGAACCCCTGACCCTGGCTCCGATACAAGATGTTGACGTGCCCGGCCTTGGTTTGCGATTTTCTAGAGAGTGAGAAAGAGAGAGGGGCGGTCTCCGATTATCCACCACGCCGGGTGAAACGCTTCAGTGCCTATCCTTCATCACGAAGATGAAACGAATCATGAGGGTCGGCATTCTGCTGCTCGTGGCCACAGTGGCACAGGCAGCGTCCACATCCGGCTTGAACTCGTCTTCTCTGACAGCCCTCATGGCGAGAGTCCCACATTGCGCAGTGAGTTCACCCAGGTATCACTGCAAGAGAACATGTTCTAACCCTCCTGTTAAATCACAGATAGGATGCTTACTCGATGGATACCACTCCGCCCACTGCCCCATTGACAAGATTACAGACTGCGTCTGCACCGACATCCCGTTGCAGGCCCGCAGTTCTCAGTGTGTACAGCAGTCATGCGACTTCAACGACCAAATTGGTATGTCAGAATTAGACGCTGAAGCTCTGTCTCACGCGGTTATCGCTGACTAGATCACATGAAGCCACCGTCAACGTCTCTCAAGAGTTGTGCAAGGACTACCCCATTGAAGAGCAATCACGACCTGCCAAGTTCTTCTCCGTTGCCCTTCCTACCATGACTCTCGTGGTTGTGCTACTTCGATGTGTTGCCCGCATACAGGTCGCCAGTCGGTTATGGTGGGACGACGGTGCGGCTTTGATGGCCATGGTAAGTTTTTGATCTTGGTTTGGAATATAGAAGAGAACAACCAGTCTGATAAGGTGCTTGCAGGCAATTTTGATAGTAATATCCGGTCTCGGCTACGCAAGTACATACTGCTCCTTCCCCATGCTGTATCAACGAGAGGTATACATACTTACTTGAATAATTATCTAGATGGAGACTTGGGGTTCGGACACCACTATTGGAATATCGACCCTGCAAATAGCAAGACGATCCTGCAGGTATGAGATTGTGCAACTTACTTTACACTTGCGGTTGCTTTTTGCTCACAACAGTTTGCAGATCATTTACGTCTTGCAGATGCTCTACATCTTCGTGCAGTACGTCAAAGGCTCGCTGTCAAGCAAGGGGAGAGACAGTAACTAATCGATTTCTTGTGTAGAGGATTTGCCAAAATTTCCATTGCCTGCTTCTATTATCGTGTCTTCACCGGGAAGACCTTCCGCCTCAAGATCAACATCTTCTTGATTTTCCTCACCACGCGCAGTCTCATGTTTCTACTTCTCGTCATTTTCCAGTGTACTCCGATCCAGTCCATCTGGAACCGGGCTATTCCGAGTCAATGTCTCAACCTCTCCGCTATCAGCTCAGGCGGCGCGGCCTGCAGCATTCTTGAAGATATTGTCCTTATCATTCTCCCCGTTCCGGAGCTTATGAGACTCCAGCTAGATAAGAAAAAGAAGGTCGCTTTGTTCGGCATGTTCGCCCTGGGATCCTTGTGAGTATTCGTCGTCCACGATATCGCCTGTAATGAAACGGAAGCTGACGCGCCGGCGAACCAGTGCATGTGTTGCCAGCATGATCCGACTCAAACAACTGGTCTATTTTGCTCATACGTTCGATCCTACGTGTACGTAATTCACGAGAGTTTCCATCAAATCAACATCAGACTAGCATGCTAACTGGTGCCAAATCTAAAGGGGACTACGTCGGCGTCATAGACTGGTCCTGCGCCGAGCTCAACGCCGCCGTGATGTGCAGTAGCCTCCCAGCCCTACGGCCGCTCTTCGTCAAAGCCCTGGTCCTCGTTTCTTCACGGACATGGAGCGGCCGGGCCACATCCGCCGGTGACAAGTCTCACCAGCACCAACAACGGCATGGTTTCGCAATGGCCAACATCGGCTCGCACCCTTCGAGGTCCCACCAAGCAAGCGCCCAATCGTGGCCCAAGGATGTGGCACAGAAGCCTATCAGGCTGGATTCGCTTGAAATAGAGTCCGCGGCGCCGAGTGAGGGGAAGTCATCCCCCTATTGTTTGGAGGCGGCGATCGAGCGAAATGGTAGCGACTTGGACAGCGGGCCTTGGTCCGCGAGTGCAGCCTCGACGACGTTTATTGAGGAGCAGATGGAAGATTCGAGCATTAAGAAATAGCTAGCCAGGATCACAAATTTAATTTCTCACCTATCACAGAGCTTCCTCCAATGGAAACTTCGAACATTACGGCAGTGGTGACTTGGTCTGCGGCAGGGGGGTGCAGATCAAAGAATTCGAACATCAAGTTGCTTGGCGTTGCAAGCGCCCAGGAAAGTGGCTTTGTTGTTTCATTGATCTGAACAGCGCTTCGATTCTTACCGCCACAAGCCTTTTCTCGCCACATGTAACCATCTGGGTTGGGGTAACGACAAAGCAAACTGCCCTTTGACCTCATGTTGCCATGGGCAAAGCACCAACCGCCAGCGGCCCAGCCCACCAGACCTTCCAAATTGCGACTTCGGCCCAGTCCGATCAATGTCGAGACTGTCGCCTCCAAGTCAGATAAAGAATTTTGAACAGTTGATTGCAAGGTGGAGACTAGAAGGGTATGCGCATATATGCCCAGGGACGAAATGAAACCACGGCTACTAAAACGCTGACTTAGCGAGTATCAAGGCATTCGAAGACTTGATGGTCAAAATGGGTCAATCGACTCTTTCGACAGATATCCCTAGCAGCAGACGCAATGGATATTTCTTCCCATGTCCGGGAAGAGCTCGATAATCCTGCACCGGAAAGCCCTGGCACTCATGCCCTGGAAGAACACAACACTGTAATATTAGAAAAGCATTCTATGTGCAAAACTCTCCGAGAGTACATATATCAAAGAGTTCATCAAGATATCAAACGACCGGGATGGCAGAAAATTCGAGTCACCGGTTTAATCCAAAGAGATCCTCCCGCAATGATCTCCTCTTGGGAAATCGAGAAGCAGCTTACACCGTTCAACTTTCGGCGCCCGACAGCGACGATTATCGACGACTCGACGTTAGAAATCCATTGCTTCCCTTGTCCAGCTTTTGTCCAACACTACAGCAGAGTGATCTCGACGTACTTACAATTTGAAAATAGAGCTACAAAGGTGGAAACGATTATACCGACAGATTGGGCAAGCGAGAATGTCCTCCGGAAATCGAATCTCACAGAACTTGGAGCAACAGATGTTGTGATTTTTGGTGAAGTCCACAGACTGACTCAACTCGTTTCTGGAATTACATGGGGCTCACAACATCCAAATGGGCTATTTGCCTGGCATACCTTTGAGTCTGAAGGTGGCAAAAGTATCACCATGCTGGGGTGTAGAGAGGGTCTCTGGGGCGAAGCGGCGGGGTCTCTGGTCCGTGTACTGCGAAAATTCTCGAAGACCCAGTGCCTTATCTATGTTAGCAAAGTTGGATCTCTTGCAGAGAACGTTTCCGCCAATGAGAGGATTGCCACGGGAGACGAATCGACATTAGGAGACAAAGATATAGCTTGGGATGACCCTCTCCGAGACATGAAGTCGATAGCATCCTCTGATCTCGTTTTGCGGGGACGGCATGTCTCGGTTCCATCTCCGTTGTGCGAGACTAAGGAATGGTTACGGCACTGGCAGGAGACTTGTGCCTGGGTCGACTGCGAAACATGGCACATGGCACAGGCAGCCAAGGACGTCGAAGTCAAGTTCGGTTATTTACACATCGTCTCCGACAACCTCGCGGAGGAAGATGGCGAGAATTTGTCAAACGAGGACTGCGATGAAATCCAAAGTAAAAGGGAATTATTGTTTCGAAAGATTGAGACCATTTTACGAGAGTTCATTGCAACTTGGGACACACAACCCGCTGGGAATACCGCAATAACCCAGTCTACATAGCAAGATTATGCACGGTGGTTAGATAAAAAGACCTTACGAGAAAGTATCAAAATGTCATTTTCTCAGCGGGTTTTTTTTTTCGGGCCAACTAGAGATTCGCAAATGCGAAACGGCGCAGGTGATGTTGTCAAAGTGCACTGTTTAGGTTTCTTATTTGGTACGTCTGATTCTTCAGAAAATCGGAAGACAGTGACGGACAATTGTTAGAATCCCGAACCAATGATATCATCGCCTGTACGGATTCTGGCAACGGCGCTTGGACATTTACATTGATAAAAGGACAGCTATAGATCCACACACTTTGAGCAGCCTCTCTGCCAGACAGGGGCGAATGGATCGTGGCACTATCTTTACACGGCGATATTAAGAAGGAGTTTCAAAGTCACTGACTCGAGTACCAGCCTCACCTCCTGCCAAGCACATGACAACCATAGAGTTGCGGCGCTTCACCGGACGAGTTCTAGACGCAATGCTACCGTGTGTATTAATCGGGTTTAGGCCAAAGCTCTCGGCGGCCCGCGGAAGCGGAAAGCGGACTGGTCACGCTCGGCGAGGAACACGAACCGAAGGCTCCGGGAATCAGGGGCTCTGCCGCCATTACCGCTCCGTCCAAGAAAACTGTCTTGATGCCGAGCCACCTCTGTGGGTTCAGGTGGATTTGAGCACTCTATTGACATCTCAGCCCTGTATTAAGCCTCTTGATATGGAAGGTACTAAGGTCATAGTATGGAAATACAAAAGGGCGAAGTTGGTCCTTTGATCAGTGACTCGTGATGTCTTGGCATGCTCAACTCTCACACTCGTTCGTATTTTTTATAGTCACTCTTTTGTTTGCTGGTATTCTTGCAGAATGCAAATATTCACTCTTTTGACATTTCTCGTCGCGGTACTCTCTGTGCAAGCTAGACACCATGACGGGGCGGCAGCGGCTCATGAGTTGGTAGAGAGAGCCGAACACTACAAACATACCGCCCACCGGCACAATGGCCTGATGCCGCGTCAAACAAGTCCCCTGGATCCCACCGTTACTCCCCCACCGTCTTTCAACTCGACGGGCCCCAGCACATTTTCAACTCATTTCTTCACCAACACCACAACAACACACCGCAATACAACATCATCTAGATCGTCCTCAACGTCTTCAAGTTCGAAGAGCTCAAGCAAGCGATCTTCTAGCTCTAGCAAGTCTTCGAGCAGAAGCTCAACGTCCTCTAGTTCCAGCACCGCCTCGTCCTCTGGTAGCAGTAGCTCCCGTGCGTCTTCGTCTTCAAATTCTCAGGCTAGCAGCTCTCAGAGCTCCTCCACGCTTAGCTCCAGCATTAGCTCCAGCCTCAGTTCTAGCGCACCTACGTCCTCAACACTCACTTCTGGTACATCTTTATCTAGTACCCCGGTTTCCACTTCCTCGGGAACTACTTTCACAGGAACATCTTCCGATTCGGTATCTAGTACAGGTTCAAGGCCCACTGAATCGAGTGCCAGAAGTACTTGGAGCAGGAGAGAATCTACACAAACATCTGTCTCGTCCGAAACCTTTTCCTTGACCCTATCTTCCGGTGTCTCATGGTCTACGAGCTACACAACAGCTACCTATACCACTGTAGATGCTAATGGAAATCCGTATGTCCCTGTGGCTCCGATCGCTATTCCTGTAGTTGGCGGTGTGCCCGTGGTTCCTCCTGTTGGTGGCGGTGGTGGAGGTGGAGGCGGGGCAGGAGCGGACTCAACGACCACGACGACGAGCTCTAGTCCTAGCTCTAGCTCTAGTCCGCCAACGCCAACTAGCTCGATATCAGCAAGCCCCTCTTCTAGCTCGGTTGATCCAATCACATCAGCTGTGGAGTTATCTTCAGGGTCATCCATCATGGAAGTTGTGACGGTAACATCTCCTGAGACCACAATTGAGGTCATTGAGACTGCTACGTCTGCCGCGCCGGCTGCAACTAGTGCTGCGCCATCTCCGGTTCCGTGCTATGTAAGTACACCTTCTCTCTTGCTATTCAGACGACGTATTCAGGATACGCCTATTTTCCTGCGTTCGGATCTATGGGCAATCTACTGACAACTACCATTGTAGAACTACGATTGGAAATCATACGGCTGGTGCTGCCCTGGCCCAGACTCTCCTTGCCAAAATGACCTGGGCACCTGCTACTTTGACGGCACAGGGGCTACTAATGTGTTGCCAAACACGGCTGCCTGTCCGCCTGGAGAGGGTGCGAGAAGTTGAATAGATCAGATTGAGCGTGGAATATTTGCTATAATGTGCGTGGAGAAAGCGGAGTTAGATCACTCATGACTGCGGGACAATTGTGGTATTTTCTGGGTACAAGTAACGACTGAGTGTAAGACATTTAAAAAGAAAAAATGGACTCAACGAAAGGATTCTTGGCACAACAAGATCTTTCTGAATTTCTGACTCAATCATTCGGGGAACTAAGACCCCGCCTCCCTAAGTGATAGACTACCTACGATAAGTCAGACTATCAGGTTTGTGATGGGCAAATCACTGAAGGATCCGATGTAAGTAGAAATTTCCTCGGCTACCTATGCTTACATAAATGAGAATGCAACACTTCTTCCTTGCTTACGGTATATGAGAATGTAACGGCTTGGCTCTGCTGACGGTGCGTGAGAATGTAAGGGTGGATTATAAGCGCTAGTCAATCACAGTCTCGGGCGAAGGTCATATACATACGAGACAGGATGGTCGGTTCCGACTTTTATCAACGCTTTACCATTTACTGATCAATCTCCGAAGAACTCTCACTATTTGTAGAACCCAAGGAATAAGCGAAGTTCGCGGAATTCTGTGGGATCTCCTGAAATCGCATGTTCATCAAAAGACGGACGAGAAGAACCAACGAGAGCCATGTTCATGCGGACACTATCCTCACACCTAGTTCAGTCCGGATCGTGAACTCGCCATGTATAAGATGGATACGACACCGCTATCATCAAACCTCGGCAACGGATGCTTCACCCCTCCGACGTGAGTGGCTCCTTCCTCTTTCCCACTGGACTGTGAGTTGTGTGAGGCGATTTAAGCATGCGCCGATCACACCCAATCCTCTGGCTTGCTTCTTTGAGCTGTCTTGTTGCGGCTGATTCTTGGTCACCGCCGGACGGCCCCTCTCTGTATGAAAATGGCTCCTACGCCACGGATGTTCTTATGCTGGCGGGCAATGAGACGTGGACGAACTACCCGGACAACGAGGGATCTTCTGGCAATAGCACCCACACTTTCAAGAAGCGTGCTGAGGATTTCTACTTGCGGATCCTTCCGCTCGGTGCATCGATCACCAGGGGCGTCTTCTCGAGCGACAACAATGGCTATCGTAAGGCGTTGCGCGAACAACTAAGGTTTGAGGGCTGGAAAGTCAACATGGTTGGGTCCAAGCAGGATGGCACTATGGCTGATAACGTGAGCTGCAAAGCGTTCTGAGGCAGGGACATCTCATGGCTGATTACGCCTCTCTAGGACAACGAAGGCCATCCGGGCCCCTGGGTGCACCAAGTGAATGAGAAATTTCGCCTTTCGTCCAACCAGAAACCTAATCTCGTATTGGTCAACGCTGGAACGTGAGTCCTTGTTCTAGAGTCACAGAAATCCGTCCATACTGAACCCCAAGCGGGAATGACTGCGAGAACCGCCAGGACCCAGAGACTACAATCAAGAATATGAGGACAATGATCGATGAGATATTCAAGACACTACCGGACACAACGGTCATCCTCTCGTCTCTGGTCAAAAGTGGAAAGGACGATGGCATCAAGGCCTGCGCTGCAGCCGTGAGCCAAGGATATCGCAACCTGGTCTACACGACGTATCGTGGCTACAGAATTTCTTATGCCAACATTCACAAAGCCATAAGTCTCAATCAGATTGATTATGGAACGCATCCGACTGATGAGGGCTATAGGCTCTTTGCTTCTGTGTGGGTGGCTGCCATCAATCGAATCGCGAAGAAGATCAAGCCGCCACCCAACGTCGAGACGGTCAATGATGCCGAGGTCACCAAAACGACCAAATGCCAGAAAATCCCCGGAACTGCTCGACGAGTTCAAACTCAACGAGGTAGCGGACACGATGATGGGAACTATGTTCACGATCGCGTTGAGCGAGGAATTATCGAATCAGGAAAGATCATCAAGTACACGAGGACATCTGCCCCAGGATCCCCCACCGATGATATGTTCTTTGCGAACATCGTCAAGGGTGACCCGAACTCACCACGTAGTGCATCACTCGATGACCTTGTCTACGCGACCATCGATGAAAGTCAGGAGCTTACATGGATGTATCGTCGAAACTTGGGAGCAGGGGGCTCATTTGGGCCAACAGTGGAGTTTAAAACGGACCTCAACTGTGGCGTAGATGATAGTAAGTTACTTCACTACTATTATGCGCCTAGGAGTCAAAAGAGTCGGCTTAGTCAGAATCATTCGCTAACATCCTTCTTTCGTGTAGCTTATGCCTTCGGAGACTTCAACAACGATGGCCTGGATGACTTCTTCTGCATCAAGCCCGGGGCTGCAGTGTGGGCTTCATTGAATAGGGGTGGCACACCACCGGCCTTCCGATCTATCGGCCAGGCAAGTCGCATCATCATTTGACTCATATCCGCTCAGCTACTAAGGATTGCGCCCTGCAGATCATCGGCCAGAGCGACAGAACGCAAAGAGAGGTTCGCATGGCGGACATTGACGGCGACGGGAGAGTCGACTTCTGCCTAGTCAGCGATGATGATGTCAAGTGTTCCCGAAATGGCGGAAAGGGAGACGAGCATTTCTGGCAAGGATTCCAGACTGCAAGTGGTATCAGGGAAACTGTGTTCAACGCCAGGAGTGGGCCGTTGTCGGGCGTTGAACTTGCCGACCTGAATGGCGAGTAAGTCAACCGACGTCTAATATCTTGTCTGTGTCCTTGTTGCTGACGCAGACAATCTCCCCAGCTACCGAGCGGACTTCCTGTACGTTGGAGACAAAGGTAACGTGGACACGTACATCAACCAGCGCGGATCGGGGAAGGGTATTGTCCCTGACTGGCGAAAGGCCGGAGTCACGCATCCCGGTCAAGCGGCGATGGGTGTCCGTGGCAACATCAAGTTTGGCCGCATCTACGGATCCGGTAGGCTTGATTACATTTACATGAAAGAGGAAGAAGAATGGTTTGATATGATTGTCTTCGAAAACAAGGGATCGGGGGGCACAAGACGCAAAGGTGACGGCAACTTTTACTGCGACATGCGCGGTACTAGCGCTGATGATCTCGTTTGGATCTACTACGACGGCCGAGTGGATGAGATCAACACCAACATCCATTCCCCACCGAATTGGGGCCATGATACCTCGATCACGCTGACAGTGCCCGGGCCCCGGACGGGCATTCACTTCGCTGATTGGACCGGAAACGGAAGATGCGATGTGCTTGTCCAAAACAAAGCTACCGGGACTCTGACATTGTATGAGAATAATTACGATGCTGGCGCAAAGGCACTCACATTCAGCAATCGGGGCGTGGTCACAGAAGGCTGGGGAGTGGGTATATTTGATAGGGGCATGCGCTTGGCAGACATTGAGTGAGTGCTTCCCCAGTATCGCCACTCAGCAGGCTGGACTCGACGCTAACATACTTTCTTACAGTGGCGACGGGCGAGCCGATCCTATTTGCATTGAGATAAGTGGTCGCATGACTGCCTGGCTCAATAGACAGAGTGGCCTTCTCGATGCTGGCCAGATCAAATTTGCAGAATCATGGGATCGCGCTAATATACGCTTTGCCGACGTGGAGAACTCTGGGAGAGCTGACATTATCTGGATGAACAAATACACTGGAGCCAGCACAGCCTTTAAGAACAATGGCTACCAGAGTGGTGGTGCCGCTGGAGGTTCTTCTTTCTCTTGGACAAACCGCGGCGTCCTCTACAGCGGCGTTGACCGCGGAGAATGTTTGGTAAGGCTTTGGCACTCTCGATCAACACAACTAAGGGTACATCAGGGATGAAACCTGCTGACGCTTGTGACCTTAGCACTTCGCGAACCTTGGCGGGCTAGGACGAGCTGATCTCATCGAAGTCGACCCTGCAACGAATACAGCATACACCAACTTCAACGAATGCAACGGAAGCGGCGGCGATGATGGCGCCGTCAGTAACCCTGGATTGCCATCATATTCAACCAATGATCCGCTCATCCTCTGGGATTATGCTCCTGTGTATGCCCAAGACAGCAACCCACCATACCCACCTCTCAAGAATGACGATGAGTCCGACATTGCTATTGAAAACTTGCGCGAGACTCGTCTGTTTGGATTTTATCAGTGCGATACTGAGACGTTCAGCAACATTAAAAACGGCTGGCGTGACTTCAACCGCCTCAGTTTGATGGACCGCCTGTCGAGCAATATCGACTGGAACAGCCAGGGCATTAATGAGTTCTTCGGTCAAGGCGACCAGAAGACACTGTCTGACGACAAGAAGAGGCAGATTCAGAACATCTTCTACTACACCTCACAGATGTGGACCCATTGGTGGACAGACTGGGGTCCTCCTAAGTACATCGACTCATGGCAGTACCTGTGGATTGAGGTCTCATGCAGCCTCGGCGATGGTTCCGGGGACCCCAAAAACTACTGCGGAGACAAGGAAAATCCTTCTGAAGGAGGTCCCGCTGCCTTGATAACGTGGAAATGGCACGAGAACCGCTATACGCGGGCGCTTGTCTGCAGGAAGTACACCACCCTGGGGAAGGATCTGGATGATCTAACAAGATACATGAATACAGAGAAGACTGCAGAAGACCGTCTGAACTTGGCGAATTGGGAGCACGCTAGGGGAGGGTATTGGCTGCACGAGGCGACGCATATGGATTATTTCATGAACACACCATCTTCGGGGTCGGGACCAGTCGTTAGAGACCTCCTTGTCAACTACAGTGACGGTCGCGGAGAAAACAAAGCCTACGGTATTGACAATGCTAAGAAACTAGCCAATTACGATCGTCACTTCACACCCGGCGAGTACACGCAACAAAACTGTAAGGTTCAATCTTCCTCGGTCGATAATGGCTGGCACCTCAGCAACTAACAATCTACCTACACTTGATAGCCGACAACTACAGATTTTACGCCATGTCCAAATGGGTGGAGGCCAATTCTGTCGAGAGGACCTATCCCTATAAGCCGAGCGTCAATCCTTTTGCGATGCCTGTGTTCCCGCCTAAAGTTCC